CGATCTTGCACGAATGCTCTTTCACCCTTTGACGACGACGAACATGACGACAACAGAGGGCCTGGGCTCAACCTAACAAAGCAAACTCAGCTTGCCAAGGTACGAAGGATGGGCCCGGTGCCACCAAGCATCGCCACGACCTCGGAGAGTAACCAGGCAGCGATTATTCTTGGCAGCGCCAGGGAGATATGATCAGACCGGAGTGCGGGTGACACGTTTAAATGGGCACAAAGGGTCGAGGAGCACATGCTTCATCTTCGCTCTTTCCAAAGATTACAAAGAATGTGGGTGCATCTAAAGGCTTCAAGTTTGGTGGCATGGAGCCCGTGGTAGATTCCGTTACTTTGCATGCAGAATTCTAGTAGAATTTGAAAAAACATCAGCAATGCTTTTTCCAAGCGTATCTACGTCCTCAGCCACGAAGAACCTGATGCCAAATTGTTCAGTCTAAATGCTACGCAAGGAAACCACTGCTTCTGTTTTTGTTTGCAGTTCGCAGCAATTAACATGATCGGATGCGCTTTGCTGGCATTTCCAATTCGCTGCTGGCTGCCCTTTTGTGGCTGCCAGAGCTGCGGGTCATGGTGTGCCAGCACTCAGGATCACCACCCTCAGTCGGGAAACTGCCCTCGTCCTCCGACATTAGGCTGAAACCCACCTTGCGATAGCAGCTGCGGGCTCGGAAGTTCTTCTTCAGCACTGACAAACAGGTGGTCTCGAACTCCCAGCCGCGTTGTTGCGCCGACTTTTCGCCAGCAGCAATCCTGATCTTTGGGTATCTTGTAGGATGGTCTGGAATTAGCGTGCTACGGTGGAATCCCTAAATTTGGCATGCCCCTAACTCTTATCTTTGGTAATCATGGTATTCTTTGTGTAGTAAGGTCATGCCGGATTTGTTGCATCAACCCTATAAGCCCCTATATAAGCCCAGTTTTCGTCTGGTTTTCTTTTCTTTCCCACATTATCCTGCGTTTTTCAGCAGCATGGTAGAAACGTAGGAAAGCAAAGTTTCCAGAGCGGCTGAGGATCAGCATGCAGCCAACACCCTGGCCCTGGTGCTCCCAGTCAACTTTTAGATGGCCAATGCATAGCTCCGTTTTGCCTAGGCTGAGTTGGGGCTTTAGGTCTATGACAAGAACACCCTGACTCAGGCCCCGCCCATTTTCTGGATACCAGGAA